TAAGAGGACCAAAACTCAGACAACAATCATAACAGTCTGAGTAGACACAAAGAGGTATCAGTTGAGTAGGTAAAAAAGATTTGTCTCTCCTAAAACAGTCAGTCAAACCGATTCTCAAACTCAAGTAGAACAAAAGATAATCATTGGCTTGAGTGAGTCAATTTCAATTAAAGAAAGTTCAGCAGACAGCAAACTGACCTGCATGTATGGTCCATGCTTTTGTTTCCTGTGGAAAAAAGAAAATACTCCATCAAAAAATTAATATAAATAGTATATTCAGAAAACTTCAAATTATTCACCTTCTCCCCAGAAGTAAAGTATGTACGCAACCCCAAAAGGCTATATGTTGCTCTGATGAGGTTCCCGAGACCACTTTCACTAACACCAAGTGATTTCAAAAATTCATTTCGTTCTTCAAATGGCAGTTCTGTAAGCTCTGATTCAACCTGCAATAATAAGCATCCTTAAATTACCTGCTTCATGCAACAGTTGAAAATCAACAGTTCAAAGCTTGTACAAGATATATCAATCTGAAATAGACAGCAGAACACATGTATAGAGGCAAAGGTTTCTAGAAGATATCACCATACCTGTGCAGAAATTGTCACCAGTCCAGATTGCAAATCAGATGCAAGACTCATCACTTCTTTGACGTAAGGATTATTTCCAGCATCAGCTAGTTCAGATTCTGCAACATTTGTCACATATATGACCGGTTTCATAGTAAGCAAGCAAAGATGCTTTACTGCATCCTTTTCAAAATCTGTTAATGTTACAGATCGTGCCGGTTTTCCTTCCATGAGTGCCTGCTGAATCCTTTCCAAGGCAGACTTTTCGGCCTCCTCCTAAAATAAGAAAATTGCATTATTTTATATATTCAGAGAGCCATACTTTAGCCATACATCTAAAATTGAAAATATGGCAGACAGGCTGCTCGCATAGGCATTGAAAGCCACAAAACCTCATTTTACCTTGAGTTTAGATTGTGAATCCTTTGGCTTCCCTTTCTTGAGCTTCTCTAATCTTTTCTCAATCTGCATTTCTTGTAAAATGCATAAATTAGTTCTGTCAGCTTATTTGACGAGGATTGGCATATGTAACTGTAGGATACGAAGGTTATCATCACAAGGAACTTTCAAGTAAATACAATTGAAAGGCAAAAGGCACTGATAAAGAACAAGAGGACAAGATCTCATTGGAGCACCTTATCATTTTTATTTTTGCACCAAGTAATGTGTTAAGACTTTAAAGACTATCACTAAAGTAAATCAAGACAAATTATTTGAGATTTACGCAAGGATTTAGAAAATCCCGAACTATGTAGGACAGCAATAAAATGAAGTCCTTGTATAAACTTCCAAAATCCAAACATTGATAACGAACAACTAATTGGTAGAGAAATATATGGTTATATTTGAGGAAGCAAAACGTAAAATATTGGTCAGAAGAAAATGAAGAAACATTGAGATTTTAAACTACACAGCATCTGCCCGGCACTGCTGAACACTGCCATGAATGATAGTTGTGGGTTTTGAGTTTATCATATGGCAAGTTGATAATGACATAGTCAAGAGTTGCAAAGGTAGGACTTCTGCTGTTGAAGTAATGAAATTCATATGAAATTTAAATCATTTTTCTTCTATATCAAAGAAAGTGTAGAATTTTGTAAATATTTCAGCCAAGATCACAAAGACAGCTAAATGGTTTTCCTAGATTGAAAACTAAGAACTTTGACTCCAAAATACTGTTTATGCTCATCAAAAGGAGTATAAAGGGGTTGACTAAATAGTGGCCATCTTTCTAGTCCAAGTTGAGCCATAGCCTTAAATCCCAGCCCCATGAAGGGCATAATAAAAGCTGCTGATCAATGATCAATAAGCATGAATTGAACCACACAACTACCACCAAAGGACATGAATCCAAGGTTCCACTAAATCTCTTTGGCACTAGCAAGCCCTTACCACTAGACCACCAGCCTTTTTTGTAGTTGCTAGTAAATACTAAAGTAATTTAGAGTATATATTTAAAGATCATTAACGAATCAGATTTAAGAACAAATGATAAAAACCTATCCCATGCATTCTATAACAAAAGTTACCAAAGCGATCTTACCCTTAAAAATAAAAAAAAATAAAAAAAATTAGAGCATAAATTTCAAATACTTGGGCATTTAAGCTTGCTCTTTTGCAAGTTTCTAAGATCCCATTACAGTTTGCACTTTGCTGTATATGAATACCATCACAAATAAAGAGTTAAAGACACAATATGAACATGCTGAAGTAGCGAATTTTCTAGCTCTATTCAGCATACCTGATCCAAATCTGAGAAAGCAAGCTCTAAGTTGATTACATCAATATCAGACTTAGGATCGACCTTGCCATTTACATGAACAATGTCATTATCTTCAAAACAGCGCACAACCTGGACCAATAATGAATATGCATTTAATACACAACATGAAAAGGTCTCAATAATATACCTATTGCCTAGCAACAGTATTCAGAATTTTGCAAAAAAGTAGGCTCTCAGTTGACATTCAAAATTATGAATATGGTTTTGTAAGCTAAACAAGTCATTCCGCCATCAGGTAATGACTACACACATCCTCATCTAGTCTAAGGAAACAACAAAATATGTATATATAATAATGTCAGCTCTGTAAGCTTTATGTTTAGTTCGAGGGCTACCTCCCATCTTAACAAGAGAAGCCTCGGCATTGAACCTAAGATTGTTTGGGGTAGGAGAAAGGGGTTTACCACAAGGATAAACCTAGAAATAGCCCCCCCCCCCCCCAAAAAAAAAAAAAACAATAAATAAATAAAACAGCAGTTTTGTTAAGTATACTGCAACTGGAAGTAGCTAGAAAAGAACATCAATGTGAACCAAGATGAACCTGAAGAATGGAATCAACTTCACGAATATGCGACAAGAACTTGTTACCCAACCCCTGCAAGAAATAAATCAAAATAACAAGAATATAAGCCAACAAGGCACAATCAAACTTCTAGTCCAAAAACAAAGCCACATGTTTTCCTTAAAAATGGCATAACACCCAAGAATCCATTAATTTCAAAATAAACCAATACTAGTAAAAGAAATATCAAACAACCTCCCCTTGACTGGCACCCTTGACAAGCCCGGCAATATCGACAAATTCGATAGAAGCAGGGACAACTCGTTGAGACTTGCTTAGTTCAGAAAGTACACTGAGTCTTGAATCAGGAACAGCAACAATCCCCACATTCGGTTCTATTGTACAAAATGGAAAATTAGCAGCTTGAGCTTTTCCATTCTCCACCTAAAAAACATGCCATTTAATCCCACATCAAGCACTTCATACACCAAAATAACAACAAACGTAATAAATGCCAAAATCCATAGTCCTCCCTCCAAAATTTCTAACTTTTGTATTACACATTTAGCAGAGAGACCACAAGAACAATTCTTTATCCATTTCTGTTATTTTCTAAAGAAGCAAAAAAATTTAGCAGAAGGGGTGGTAGAGATACTTACAACAGCATTAAACAGAGTGGATTTTCCAACATTAGGGAGTCCAACAATTCCAGCTTTCAAGCTCATGCTTATCTTTGAAGCGGAAGTGGAAAACCGCCTATTGGCAATCCCGAAAAAGCCTATAAATTGGGAGTCGCTAGTGAAGAAAGAATGGTTTCTACATAGAGGAAATGATGGTATTGACTTCTTTGGAAGACGCGACAAAGCAGGCACAAGGTTGCCGCATGCTACTCTTGCCATTTTGGGGACAGAGGGAGAGAGGGTTTATCTGCGAGAAAAACAGAGGGAAAAGTGGCCACTGAATGTAAAACCTCTCACCGTTTTTTCTTTTTCTTTTATTATTATTTATGAGTAAATTATAAATTAGTCCTTCTTGTTTTGAGAAATAAATTAATTAGCCTCTTCTGTTAAAAACTTATTATTTAGTCTTTTACGTTTTAATTTCATCAATAACTTAGTTTTTTTCATCAGTTTTTCGTTAAATTAGTGATTTTTTCCTCTCAAATTGCTTTTTTTCATGTCTTATTTCTCTTCTTCGCTCATTTTTTACTCTTTTCGAAAACAAAAATCACTAATTTAAAAAAAAACTGATTAAATGACTTAATTATTAAAAAAATAAAAACACGAAAGATTAAAAAAAAAGACTAATTAATTTGTTTTTCTAAATAAAAGAGACTAATTTATCATTTACTCGTTCATTTATTTATTATTAATTAGTTCTCGCATCATTAACTAGAGATTTGAACATATAAAATTCATCATATTAAAATTGAATGTGTTTTCTTTCACAATACAACATTAATAATTCATCACTTTTTTGGTTAAATTAGTGGTTTTCCCCCTCAAATTGTCTTTTTCTTTATGCCTTATTTCTCTTCTTCATTCATTTTCTACTCTTTTTTCAACAAAAAAAAACACAATTTGAAAACAAAAATTACTAATTTAATGAAAAACTGATAAAATAACTAAGTTGTTAAAAAAATTAAAACATAAAAGATTAAATGATTAATTTTTGAAAAAAAAACTAATTAATTTGTTTTTCTAAATAAAAGAGACTAATTTATCATTTACTCGTTCATTTATTTATTATTAATTAGTTCTCGCATCATTAACTAGAGATCCGAACACATAAAATTCACCATATTAAAATTGAATGTGTTTTTTTTCACAATACAGCATTAATAATTCATCACTTTTTTGGTTAAATTAGTGGTTTTCCCCCTCAAATTGCCTTTTTCTTTATGCCTTATTTCTCTTCTTCATTCATTTTCTACTCTTTTTTCAAAAAAAAAAAACAAAAATTGAAAACAAAAATTACTAATTTAATGAAAAACTGATAAAATAACTAAGTTATTAAAAAAATTAAAACATAAAAGATTAAATGATTAATTTTTGAAAAAAAAGACTAATTAATTCGTTTTTCTAAATAAGAGAGACTAATTTATAATTTACTCGTTCATTTATTCATTATTAATTAGTTTTTGCATCATCAACTTAGAGATCTCAACGCATAAAATTCATCATATTAAAAGCGTTTTATTTCACAATACAACCTTAATAAAACATAATATAACAAATCAGTCATAACAAAACACAACACAACACAATAGTACTAAACAAGCTCTTAATTAATCTTCAAACATTTGACCAATATCCTGGTCTAAGGTGGCATTCTCGTACCAATAACTGGCTAAGACTGAAGTTTAAAAGGTTGCAATGGCCCATCAAGTTCACCAGTTTTGGTCAAGAAATGGCTAAGGAACTCTTTGTACTTGAAGGCTTTATAGATTGGAGGATTGCGCGCATTAATAACTGGTCTTGCAGGCTCTATGATGCTGTCATCACTGGGAAGGAAAAAGCATGCAACACTTGTTCTAGCTTTTCTTGAATTTGTCACAGCTCGATGCTCAACACTTTTCAGCTTGTTGTTACTGATAATCTATAACATCAACAACACCAAATTTTGTCAGTTTAAAGCCAAAATAAGATCTTAAAGCTAGCAGAACTAAAATTTTATATCCATATGATCTTGTTTTAATCCAGAATATCCAACCAGGAAACTGTGATATAAAATTTTGTTATTCAAAATATTAATTTCTGATGACAATATTCCATGCCAATGAATTTTTTAAAAAAGTCAACATTAGACAGGGAAAACAAGTTGGACAAGTTAGAAAGATTCAAGCATCCAGTATTATCACCTTATATATATTTCTTGATTGAGACTTTTAATGACAGTGTTATAACGGAGAGCTTCAAGTAAAAAAATCTTGAAGACTAGAAGGTATCAATAAAAAATAGTAGAGAGTCTTGACCAAAACAAATTAGAAAACAAAATAGTTAAACGTGAAGAAAACTCAAAAACTGATCTGATTATACCAACCAGAAAAATGAAAAAAGAAAAAATGGGAGGTGTACCTGCATTTGGTAGCCCATGTTGACCACAAATGCATTAGGAAGAGGGTCAACACCAATCCATTCACCATCCTTCAGGACCTGAAGGCCGCACACATCACTATCTTGGAGTAAAATGGTGATGAGGTTAGGATCACAATGTGCAGGCACTCCAAAGGTCAAACTTGGGTCTGGACATGGCGGATAATGATTCACCAACAGTGTTGAAACTTCACTCAGTTTACCCCCAAAATACCCACTCTCTACCCCAAGTCCTTCACCAATCAACTCCAATATTCTTGACCCCAATTTCTTTACTTCAGCAGCATAAGCCCCAACAACCTCTCTGCAAATTATATGAAGATAATTTAGGGGAAAAAAAAACTAGAGAAATTATGACTGCAGCAAGCTTGATTTACCGGTATCTGGTTGGCTTTTCAGGCCAGTGTTGGATGCTTTCCTCCAGAGGATGACAAGAATTCAGTAAATTGTCACGCCATAAATGAACATCTTCAGTGGCATAAAGCATGCTGCTTGGATACAGCATGCAATACTTGTTCTTCTTTGGATTCTCAATATAGAAGCTTGCCTTGTCTTCTTCAGGCAACGTAAAGAATTCCTTGAAGACCCTCATGGTGTCATTCATCAAATCTTCCTCTACGCCATGATTGATCACCTGCTTCATGTTTGTGTTCGTCAATGATTAACATGTTGAACATATGATTATCAAAGATAAAATGATCACAAGAGTAAAATTGTTGAAGTTGGGAACCTGGAGAAATCCATATTCTTGGGCTGCCTTCAAAATTTTCTGTATAGTAACATCTCTATCTTTACTCGCTGTTTCAGCAAGATCTATCACTGGTATGGACTTGCTTGCCGAAAAAGTGATATTCCCCGGTCGTTTTTCAGGCGGAAATATGTACTTTTCAGGCACAAATTGAACGTTATTCCAGCTTGAAATGAGCTTCTCCATTGCTGTAGCTAAGATGATGAATTTCTATGCTATACTAATAACACAAGCTTGTGTTCAATTTGGTTCTCTCTCAACTCCAAATGAATTTGTGACTTATATTACTAAAAAAAACTAAAAAAATCTGAGAGAGTCACTTTCATTTCTGTAGCAATTCCATTCTTTTTTTCCCTTCAAAGGCTGACCGCAGGCTGAACGAGCCTAGTCAAGTTTACATCCATTTATTGTGGCATTTTATTATTATTATTATTTTTTTTTTTGAGGGTTGGTTGCGGGCTCAAGCAAGCCGGGCCTAGCTCTCAAGCCTGCACAAACAGTCCCAGCCAGCCTTTGTCTTCCTTTTTTTTTTTTTCATTCAAATCATTCATTTTTATATTTTTTTTATCATAAAATTAGGTGTGAAAATATAAAAAAAATATCTATATTTTTTTAAGCTTTACGTATAGTTTGACGGTAATAGAATATATGTGATATTTTTTTAGATTTTAGTTTAAACCTATATATCCGATTATATTATTTTTATTGTTTAAAACTTATTTTTTCAATTGTTTGTTTCTTATTAAAATTCTCATCGAATTAATTTTTTTTTATTTTATATAATTTTATTTTTTAATAAATTTGATTTTTTTTATATATGGATTTTGAAATAAAATTTTAAAAGATGATTGTTTTATATTTTAGAATATATTATTATAATTTATATGATTGATTATTTTTATTATTTTTAAATGAGAGGAATGTAATTACTTATATAAATTCTGATGAGAGAGAGAAAGCTAAAATTTTATTTTAGATAATTTAACTTGATTTTTTTAAAAATAATTTGACTTTTTTTTTATAAAAAAAATTAATGATTAGTTAAAAAATTCACAGGTTTTATTTGGTGTGTGTGTGTGTGCACATATCGTACTTAGCAAATTCAGAATAAATAAAAAAATAATCAAATTTTATAGTATAGTAGCTTTTATTTAAATATATTCACTTCGATATATTTCATGCGATTTACGTGGGTTTTTTTATATAATTTTATTTATTTATTTTATATATTCTAAATCTATTAAGTCCGATATATATATATATATATATATATATATATATATATATATATATATATATATATATATAATCAGAAATTATCGAAACCAATTTTATAATAGTTTTTATTTAAATCTTTTCACTTCAATATATTTTATGTGATTTAAGTGGTGTTTTTTATATATTTTTTAATTTTTTAATTTTTTTATATACTCTCAATCTGCTAAGTACGATATATATATATATATAGAGAGAGAGAGAGAGAGTTAGTTAGTTAGTTAGTTTTGTTAGAAATTAATTATATATGCACACATAACATCAATTATTTATTTTTTATTTTTTTCTTGTTCTAAAATATGTATTTTTAAATAAAATAGTTTAATTAATGTTTTAAAAGAGCCTCTTAATTATTCAAATATAAATTTTTATACTAATATTATAAATTATTTTTTAATATATATATATATATCAAACAAGTTCGTTCAATATATAGATTTCATTTACATTAATGTTCGTAAATAAAACATCTACTCGCATCACACCATACGAATCGTTAATCCTGTATACATAATGTTTGTTTGACCACAACATAACATGAGTATCTAACTAGTAAGGAAGCTAGAGGAGGTGAAAAATAATTTTGCATGAACAGAAGCCAATTGTTTGGTTACTTGGAAGCTTGTTAAGTTGGAGTAAGATGACTTTCAACTAATGTTGATTGATAAATTTTGGTATTTACATAAAAATGAACTAATGTTTTTAGGATAACCAGTTTAATCCTACCTTATATAATAGCATTCGTTTATATTTTATCTTACGTTTTTAATTACATCTATTA